CTTATTATGCTGTACAAAAACCCCCAACAAAAAACAAATAATTTTATTACATGTTATTATGTATCCGAAGAGGGCTTAGGGAATAATAATAATAAAAAAAAAAATTGACCAAAAGGCCACTTGGGGACAAGGAGCAAAAGGGGCAGGTCCTCAAGCCCCCCCCAGGTCTCCTCCTCTGCACGTGCCTGGATCAGCCTGTGTCCAGTTTGAGTGAAGAGGCACGTGTGATCCGTGCTGAGGTAAACTTCATCAAGCCGCGGCAGCACGTGAGGCAACGACCATAGCCGCCAGCGGTGTTATTGGTGCGCACTGCCAGCTTTAAATGCATGAACTATAAACCTATCTAGTATAAACCTATCCTTTCGGAATAAATCTGCGCCTCCAGTGCAGCACTCGGAGCAACAGATGCTTGCAATCCAGCCTTTAAAAAAATTAAGCAATTTTTTATTTTTATTTTTATTAGTATTAAAAGAGGAGCTGCATGGCGGACTGCCAGGTTCATAATACACCGGGGGAAACCCTGGTGTGTGCATGATTGTTGGTCCCATCTGTGTTGCCTTGTGATTAACTGGTGACCTGTGCAGGACGTACCCTACATCTCTCCGATTTACCACTGGAGACCTTACAAGTACAAGTGTGTTTAATGAATGGTATAAAGAATGGATGTTAAATTATGAAATTTAACATCCATTTATCCACTGTCTGTACCTGGTTGTCAGTACATAACTGTAATTATAGAATGCATTAACAGTAAAACCTTCAACGTATGTCGTTTGCAGTAACTATTGTATTTGTGACACTTCAGTCAGAAGAATCACGTCTTGTATAGATCCAAAAAAGCACTTTTGTAATGTATAAAATATGTTTTTTTACATTTTTAAATGAATCACATATGATTCATGAGCACATAAAGATGGCGGCAAGTGCGGTGGTGCGTACTGGGGGTTCTCAAACAAAATCTGAGATTCTTATAAATAAAACAGCAGATGGGACAGTGATCATAGAGGATGAGATTTTAAACTTTATTGTCATTAAAATGAGGACTCTGTCACAAGATGAGATTGTTTTGCTGGTCTCAAGCAACTTCTCGTCTGAATGGATTGAAGAGTCCAAGCGTTTGTTGTTTGAATTTTGCACAACGACAGTGCGCTGCATCAGGCATAAAGGCCCTCAAAAGGACACTAATAACATTAAAGACTGCCTGAAGGTGCTTAATGAATGTGGAGAGAACATTCCCAGGTTTGTCTCTCATTACTGTGACTTGGCTTTATTTGCTAAAAGCAACAGTTGACGTCAGCCACGTGTTTGAAATCACAAGATAATTCAGAGATGTTTGTTTGGTATGTTTCACAGGCTAGCTGGGCAGTAATGATGGTCGCTATCAGCTCTATTTTTGTCTCACCCGAGCTGTTTGACAACCTGCCAACCCACATCGGTGTCTGCATGTCTTGGCAGTACATGAACTGCAGGGCACCATGCCAGATAGCAAAGTCTTTCTGATTGGTTGACGCTCCACATCCAGCGGCAAAATTTCAGATTTTCCAACTCTGACGTTGTACGTGCTTCTCACGGCTGAAATGGTTCAAACACGGAGCATTAGGAGTGCGAAATGCACCACAACGCACGCTAACATAGGCTTTGAATGTAAACTAGATGCCCCTGATGCTCAACTCGCATTTGGTGTGAACTCAGCATAAGAATACTGTCTGAAATCCTGAAAGGGTCTGAGAAATGGAAAATGTTAATGAAGATAGTTTGAATGACTTTGACTAACTTGTGTGTTTTTATAGTGACTGTGATGACAACCAAGCAGCATGAAAATATCAACAGCCTTACAACTGAAAAAAGTCACCTGGTTCAGCAACAAAAGATGATAGAGAGCCAGATCAAGGAGCTGATCCGAGAGAAAGAGTTGACCCAATTCAAAGAAGGAATTGACCAAGAAAAAGTGGATCTGATCCGAGACTTAAATCAGCTGCGCCGCGACTTATTGGAGGTAAACCGAGACAGAGAGAAGCTGAAGCAAGACAGAGAGGTGTTGAGACAAGATGCAGAGGAGCTGAAACGAGACAGAGAAAAGCTTACTGAAGACAGAAAGAAGCTAAGCCAAGACAGAGAAAAGGTTAATCAAGACAAAGAGGAGGTGATCCGAGACAGAGAGGAGCTGAGGCAAAAAAGGGAGGAGCTGAATCAAAAGAGAAGAGAGTTTAACAAAGACAAAGAGGAACTGAGAAAAAAGAAAGAGGAGGTGATTCAGAAGACAGAGAAGCTGAACAAAGAGAAACAGGAGCTGACCAAAGAGAAACAGAAAGTTAATGAAGAAAAAAAGAAGGTGAAAAAGGAGACAGAGGAGCTGGGAAAAGAGCAAAAAGAGCTGAGAAAAGAGCAAGAGGAGCTGAGAAAAGAGCAAGAGGAGCTGGGAAAACTGCAAGAGGATTTGGAAAAAGAAAAGGATCTGAGAAAAAGGACAAAGGAGCTCAATAGAGAGAAAAAGCAGCTGAATAAAGAAAAAGAGGAGTTGAACAAAGATGAAGAGAAGCTTCTCAAAGATAAAGAACAACTGAGGAGAGAAA